CCCCAAAACCCCAAAACCCCAAAACCCCAAAACCCCATGTTTCTAATTTTAAGAGGTATAAGTAGATAGAATAAATCAGTAGCTGATTATAAATTTTCAGATGTTTTGCTTCTCTAATTATTGTTGTTGTTGTAAGACCAGATGTGTCAAAATGACTTTTGCCATTTTTTTACTTATAATGCTTTTTGTTCAAGGACTTGTGATATATTTCACTTTGAGACTCCCATCCTAAGAAATATGGTATCAAGAGGGAGATGAATCTATGGCTAACTATGATATATCGAAAGCTCAAAAAGCAGATTAATTCAAGAATGGAATGTACTATGGCACTTTGGTACTTAGTGGTATTGCTATAATTTTCTCTTGTCTCGGGTTTTGCGTAATTAATTCAAGAGGGTGCAAGTCCTTGTTTCTCTATACGGTTTATTCATTTTTGGGTACATTGCTTTTCATAGGGATAGGCCTAGGCATGCTAGTTTTTACTTTTAGTTCAAAGAGCTATTTGGACTAGTATTGTAGCAACTAACCTTTTGACAGGCTTTCAAACAAAATGGAATCCTACGTGTTCAGCTATGTTCCACAGTTAGATAAGGACCTGCCAGAGCTCATGAACAAGTATATGTGTAAATAAGATTGCCCTTGCATTCCATCAGCAGCTTAGAAACTCTCTAGCTCATTATCAGAAAAGTACATATTTACAGGGTCAATCTCAAGTTTTGAGTAATGCTACTAAAAATTAGTTACTGATAAAAAAATAAAGCCTTTTTCAGATAATTTTCTGAGTATTCTAAAATCCAATGAAAATGAACTTGTTTGCTAGACAATATGTAAAGCTCCTAAATTCTGGATGTTTAAAAATTTAACATAAGATTTTCCAAGTCAAGGCTGTCGCAATCCGTCGGAATTCTAGGTTTACTAGCAATGATCTCGGGAATTATTTTGTTCCTTACTTTTATTGTATAATTTGGACTTTGGGGCAAAAAAAGAAGAGAAAGCGGCAGTATGAGATAGAGATACACGGATAAAATCACTACTAGAAATGGTAAAACTATAAGTTACTGAATAATTATAATAAAGTGATTAGAATAGTTTTATTAAACTTTAAACATATTTATATGGTTAAGCAGTTTTAGGAAATTTTATGTTAAAAAGTCTAACTAAGTTGTTTTGACCTTCTAAAGTCAATGCTAATCATTCTTGAGCATCTCCTCCTTCTCCTCCATTTTCTTGCTAGGCTTGACCTTCATTCTCCTATTCAGCTGGCGGTTATTCATCAGCATCTTAGTGCTGAGATTCGTGAACGCTAGCAGTGTGATGAGAGGTTGCCTATTCCTGCTCTTGCTGTTGTTCTTCCTCCTGATTTTAATCCTCCTCTTGCTTCTATACTTCCTCCTATTCTTATTGCTACTCCTCCTGTTGTTAATTGTCTGCCTGCTCTTCTTAAGCTTGGACTATGGACCTCTGGCTCTATTCATGTACTGAAGGTTCATGAATAGATTATTTGTCATAAACGTTTCCATCATCTTCGTAGTGAACAGATTGATTATGCACTGAGCCTTGAATAGATCCCCTGACAGATGGCTCATGTAAGGATTGCTTTGAAGCTGATTTCATGCTTTTCTGATCATCATCAGCTTAAGCTTGAGCCTCTTCTTAAGCATCATCATTAGGCTGTTCTTGTTATTCCTCTTGCGCAACAGATTGCTTTGCAGATTTCAAAGATTTGATAGATCTTTAGGACTTAAGTTCTTCTTATTAAGCCTCATCATCTCCACCGTGAACTGAGCCTTAGACTGAACCTTTCACTGAACCCTAGACCGAACCTCTTACAGATCCCTTCACAGAGCCTTTTGCTGATTCATGCACAGATTTGTTTTAATCTGCTTTGTCTTACTAATCTTCTTCGTCGTCAGAATGAATGAGCTGGTGTTTGGCTGAACGAATTGAAGCATTCATTCCATCATCTACTTCTCCTATATGATGTTGAGAGAATGATCTCTAAATTTCTTGCTTCTATTCCTCCTCTTCATCTTTTTGACTTTTGGCCACACTTCCTTTTGGACTAGCCTCTTCCTGATAAACTTGTGCCTCATCTTATTATTCTTCTACAACTGGCTGATCCTCATCGTTTTGTACCACTGATTACTTCGCTGATGCTTGACTTCTATGAGATCTTTGAGATGCAATGCTTTATCTAACTTCTTCTTCTTATGCTGGATTATCATTCTATTCTTCATTATCGACCTCTGGGTCTCCATTAATAGATTGATTTTACTTGACTGATTAGACACTCTGTCTTAGTGATTTCTATGATGCACTATGATTTGATCTCTGAGATTTGACTTCTTCTTCTTAGTCATTAGCTCCTTGGTCTTCCTCATGCTAACTTGCAACTTATTGAAGAGATTTCTATGAAACAACTGACCTATTTGACTTTTAATCCTCCATTATTGCTGATGAATCATTGTTTTGCTTCTTAGTAGCACCCATACTATCATCATAGACAGATTCATTTTATGCCTATGATCTTTAGCTTCTCAAGCTAGCTTACTTGCTAACTTGCGATTGAGCTTCTTATTTGGCACTGACCTGGGATCTGCTTGATTAAGGTCTCTCAATCGGAGTTAGATCAACCGTCTCATATTAGTTAGCAGCCTACTCATCAGAGTTCTTTGGCTCTATTCTCACCTAGAGTTCATAGTTGATGAAAGAAACAGTCATTCCATTAAAAAGAGGAATCAAGTCAGAGGGTTCGTGATCATCCATCTGCTAGAGGCTCTTCATAAACACAAAAGTTCCGTTTGAAGATAGTCTATCTTTCTTATTCTCATGAATGAACCATCCTACCTCTCTATTGTATTCAATTTTACAATGGTCTGCACTAACAGCTTTAAGTCTAATTTCTACATCTCTTCTGTTTGATCTTCCCACAGAGAAGACGCTCTTTTCATTGTTTTCTAAGATAATTTCATTTTAGACGAGATCCTTATTTTCATCTGCAGAGATCCAAGTAGGTCTTGCCCTCAAAATAGCCTCATCATCAACCTTGTAGTTTGCCTGAGTACCTTTCATTACAATGAAATTAGGATTGGATTCCTAGTTTGGTACAGCTTCATGTATCAATTTGTCAACATGATAGTGGACAACTTTTCCAAGATCAAGTAAAGCTCCTTAGTGAATTTAAAGAGCAGTTTGGCTGTTGACCTTCACTCTTGAAGTATGGACGATACCTAAATCTCTAATGTAGTATTATCCGTCTTTCTAGATGATCATAAACTGACTTTCCCAAAGCTTCTTGTCATTGCTGATAACAAAATGATTGCAGTCACCCTCTCCAACCTTGAACTGAGCAAGGTTACCATCAAATTTAATCTCTAAGTCTTTTAATTCATCTGTATCAACATTAGTGAACTTAAGAAAGAGGTTGCTGTTTTATTCCTGTACTGGCTTAATCTTGAAGACGTGTCTTTTCAGATTCAAGTTAACTTTGACTTAATCAGGTGTTAGTTAAACAAGGTTTGTTTCTTTTACAAATTAGTGCAAAACGTCATAATCTGGCTCAGTCGAAATTTTAAAGTTCTTAAAGAAACGATTCTCATCAACATACTCAGTTGGCTATCTTGAGCCTTGGGTAAGTCTCAACTAGTCTCTCAGTACATTTAAGTCTGAGCTGCCAATGATCTAGGAGACAAATTGATTAATTTAGTCAGCATGGTCGTTAAGGCTAACGACAAAATTGTTGGAAAGCATGAAAATCTTATAGACATTATGATTTGCTTCAAAAGCATCTTGAACATGATTCATAATGCTGATTTCCTTGAGTGCACCAAAAAATTCATCTGCTGAGGCTGACAGTTAAGATTTGAAGTAAGAAAGCCACATTACTTGAGCATCTTGGCTTCCACTTAAAGCTGAAGTTATTTTGTGAGTTTGGTCTCTATTGATTACATATTTAAAGTCTACAAGGTCTAGGTCATAGGCCCATGGATGTAAAACTGTGAAACAGCTGTGATTCATATTTTGGGCTCTAAATTTCTCAATCTCCTCTTTAACAAATTAGAAAGAGGTTTAGAAAGATACGATAGGGTTCTTCAAATCATCCTCGTCGATGTTAGTCTTGTTGGCCTTTCTCAGATATTAAGAGGTAGCTTTAATGCAGGAAAGACTCTAAAGATTTTGAGACTAGATCATCTTGTCAAAGAATTCTTGAATCTTTTTGTAGTCATCAGCCTCGAGGCCCATTTCTTGAAGAATTCTTATTAATACACTCTTGTACCCTTTTAGATCCCAGTTTTAATCTATGCAGGTTCTAATAACTCCTGAAGTGAAAACAGATTAAATCTTGCTTGCTAATAGGAAACACAAACTGTGCATTATTTGTAGTTTCTTAGGGTTCTAGAAATTGCTAACACAATATTATGGAAGCAGATGCTCAGCAATACACTCTATTAAACTGTTAAGATGAGCATTTTAGGCTAGTTGCTTGTTTTTTTGTGGATTTTAGATTAAAAGCTTTATCCTATTCATCAAAGGTCCACACATTGAAGTAATGAGTGCGATCTTCTGATTTTCATCATAAGTAGTTGTTGTAGTTTCCATTTAGTTAGATACTGAATATTAATTATATACTTCAAACCTCAATAAATTTAAAATGGCAATTTTTACTTTGAAAAATTTTATTAATCAAAGCTTCAAATTCAGATCACTTCAAGATCAATCTTCTGAGAATGAAACAATTGATACTGAAGGATTGGAAAGTTCATAATCGATATACTATGGAAACGGTGAATTAAAACAAATGACCTAGTCAGAGGAAGATACAGTAATATCCATTTACCTATTTAAAATTTCAACATTTTTAGATGGAATTAAGCACTGAAATTCTCATAATGCTGTCACTTTTAATGCTTTCAATAATGGGAGGCCACTATTTGAAAAAGAAGCATCATAAATATCTTCAAGAGTCTGGCTTGACAGTTTTAATTGGGGCTATAGCTGGTCTTGTGTTGAAGTCTATGAGCTATGAAGCCTATATGACAAACTTATCGAATCATTTCGTCAGGCTATTTATGCTTTTGCTTTTACCTCCAATTATATTTGAATCTGGGTTTAACATGCAAAAGAAATATTTTTTCAGAAATATCGGAAGCATCATACTCTATGCATTTCTTGGGACTTTTATAGCAATCATTTCTTCTAGTGCGATGTTCTATGCAGTTGGATTGTTCCCTGAGATTTCTCCGTCTTTTACAGTGCAGGAAAGTCTAGCCTTTGGCGCATTGATATCTTCTACTGATCCAGTAGCAGTACTTTCTATTTTCAAGCAGATGGATGTTGACATGACTCTGTATATAATGATCTTTGGTGAAAGTATTTTTAATGATGCAATATCAATAGTTATGTATACAACAGTCCATGAATCAACAAAAAGAAACGAAACCTTTTAAAGTGAGCTGGCTATTTCAGTCAGAGCTTTCCTGATAATTTTAATGGGTTCAGTTGCTATTGGAATGACATCGGCATTGATAACAGCCTATATTCTTAAGAGACAAGCTAATAACTTTCAAAGAGAATAGCAGGTTGCCCTTGAAATTGAGAAGATCACAAAGACTTAATAGTAATATAAGAGAAAGCAAAATGTGAATACTGAAATATCAATGATGATATTATGCCCTTGGGTATCCTATCTGATCGCTGAAGGCTTTGAGCTATCTGGGATTGTGGCTATAATGGTTAATGGTATATTTTTGTCATACTACGCTCAGCCTAATATATCAAACTCTGCCCGAAGTGTGCTAAAAACTGGGTATGAAACTGTAGCATAGACAGCAGAGACACTAGTTTTTATATTTTTGGGAGTAGCTTTGTTTGCTTTTAATCATCCATATGAATAAATGGGTCCATGGTTGGTTCCGATTACCATTATAAATCTTGGGATTTCTCGATTCCTGAATGTCGGAATAGTTTCATTCTTAGTCAATAAATCTAGAACAACTAACAAGATAACTAAAAGATTCTAGCTTGTTATGTGGTTGGGTGGACTAAGAGGAGCAATGGCATATGCCTTAGCTATGAAGTCATCTTTTGATTTCGAAAAAGGGCCGGTCATGCTAATAGTAACTCTTCTATATGCTTTTATTTCAATATTACTGATTGGGTCTCTACTCTATCCAATTTTGACTAAACTCGATGTTACAAATAAGTAAGTAGCCTCTTAAGTGCTTTAAAAATAATTATCATGAATTTAGAATGATAAATCTGAATTAAACTAAAAATCATTTTAGGTCTGTTGGAGAAGCAGTTTCTGTAAGAAGTAATGAAAACTAACTCTCTGATGAAAATGAATAATAAATCCCACTAAATTGCTGTAACAAGTTGAAAAAGATTTTGAAGAAGTATGAAAACAAGTACTTCTCTCCAGTATTTATATCGTAAGTTTAGATTTGACCTATAAGAAAATGATAAATTTATATAGGGATGCAATTAGTGAAAGAAATGTAAACGACATGGTATCAGTTGGGGGAGATACCCACAGGTTCGATTAGGCTAAGCTGGGTTTAATTAATAAAGACAGTAATAATTGAGGAATTTAACTTTCATTATTTAACTGTATATTGATTAATTAAGAATTACGACAGTATAAATACATTTATTTTTAATAGACCAATACTTAAATAATATACCCTCGGGGTTTTGGGGTTTTGGGGTTTTGGGG